CAAATTAATTACAAAAATAAATAATGAAATATCACATTTACATAAGTATTCAGAGCCTTTACTCAGTACTTTGTTGAAGCACTGTTACGAACCCAGTGGCTTTAAAAGTATAGGGTGGATGGAAAAGAGGCCCGTAACATAACTCATGCGAATCAGGCTATTGCCAAGGAACAGTGAGAACAAAATACGCCAACAACCAAATGCTACCGTCAAACACAAAATGTTTATTATAAAACACACAGTAAATGGTTTGGGGAAAAGGGGCTGAGCTGGACCCAAGGAATGAAACAATAAAGTCAAAACCCCCTAAACTGATCTTGCCTGCCTCAAGAACTACTTAGCTTACGGCTAACCATACAAAAATACAGTGGGTGGTCCGCTCAGGTCTAACTAGTGTGTTTAGACAAGGTTTTCCTACGGGTAGCGTATGCCCAAGGGCGACTTGCTAAATCCCCCTTTTCCCAGGCACAAATAAACAATATAGGTACCATACGGACTAAACAGTTAACGAGTGAGTACACAAAAACAAGACACCACCGTATACATACTCACAAACAAAAAGAGTCTCTGTCAGAAAACACAACTGACTAGCTTTTAAAACAAGGGGATGTGTGATATGATTGGGTAAGAAAACAGAAACAGGTGGTGCAATCAGGATAAATGTCCACTGATTGGTCCACCTCAGCAATCAGCAGATTAACTGATGACTGACAGGTGGGACACACCAACGACCTCCAATCAGGAACATAAAGGACACCTGTGTTTAGGGCAGAAGGAGAGGAAAAACACAAAAACAAGCACCTTTGGCAGCAATTACACTACAAGCTTGGCACACCTGTATTTGGGGAGTTTCTCCCATTCTTCTCTGCACATCCTCTCAAGCTCTGTCAGGTTGGATGGGGAGGGTTGCTGCACAGCTATTTCCAGGTCTCTCCAGAGATGTTCGATCGGGTTTAAGTCCGGACTCTGGCTGGGCCACTCAAGGACATTCAGAAACTTGTCCCGAAGCCACTCCTGCGTTGTCTTGTCTGTGTGCTTAGGGTCGTTGTCCTGTTGGAAGGTGAACCGTCACCCCAGTCTGAGTACTCTGGAGCAGGTGTTCATCAAGGATCTCTCTCTACTTTGCTCCGTTCATCTGAGGAGTGGCTTCCACCTGGCCACTCTACCATAAAGGCCTGATTGGTGGAGTGCTGCAGAGATGGTTGTCCTTCTGGAAGTTACTGCCATCTCCACAGAGGAACTCTGGAGGTCTGTCAGAGTGACCATCGGGTTCTTGGTCACCTCCCTGACCAAGGCCCTTCTCCCCCGATTGCTCAGTTTGGTCGGGCGGCCAGCTCTAGTAAGAGTCTTGGTGGTTCCAAACTTCTTCCATTTAAGAATGATGGAGGCCACTGTGTTCTTGGGGACCTTCAATGCTGCAGAATTTGTTTTACCCTTCCCCAGATCTGTTTCTCGACACAATCCTGTATCGGAGTTCAATGGGCAATTCCTTTGACCTCATGGCTTGGTTGTTGCTCAGACATCAAATCAAATCAAATTTTATTGGCCACATGCGTCGAATACAACAGGTGTAGACATTACAGTGAAATGCTTACTTACAGCCCTTAACCAACAATGCATTAATTTTTTTATAAAAAAAGTAAAATAAAACAACAACAAAAGTGTTGAGAGAAAAAAAGAGCAGAAGTCAAATAAAACAACAGTAGGGAGGCTATATATACAGGGGGGTACCGGTGCAGAGTCAATGTGCAGGGGCACTGGCTAGTTGAGGTAGTTGAGGTAATATGTACATGTGGGTAGAGTTAAAGTGACTGCATAAATAATTAAGAGTAGCAGCAGCGTAAAAATATGGGGTGGGGGGGCAGTGCAAATAGTTTGGGTAGCCATGATTAGCTGGTCAGGAGTCTTATGGCAGGTGTGTGCCTTTGCAAATCATGTCCAATCAATTGAATGATGATCAATGGAAACAGGATTCACCTGAGCTCAATTTCGAGTCTCATAGCAAACGGTCTGAATACTTATGTAATTAAGGTATTTCTGTTAATTATTTGTATACATTTGCAAAACTTTCTAACAACCTGTTTTCGCTTCGTCATTATGGGGTATTGTGTGTAGATTGAAGAGGAAAATGTTTTATTTAATCATTTTTGGAATAAGGCTGTAACGTAACAAAATGTGGAAAAGGTCAAGGGGTTTGAATACTCTCCGAATGCACTGTAGAGAACTTTTGACTTAATTTGTGTCTCCTCTACTCGCTTCAACCTCAGGTTCCTACGTTTGGGACATTCTTCGCTGGATTCTGATGCCTCTGCTTCCCATGGTGTCCATATTTTCTTACTGTTACTTAAACAGTAAGTCCTTACAACCTCCAAGCATGCAATTAGCCTGAATGCATCCATAAAGTACTGCTCTTCCATTGACAAATACTAGTTCATAACACTTTGAGTAACTAACTTCAACGCTTTCTCTCCAAACAGGAAAACACCAAAACAAGGTAAAGTATTACATCAAAACATTGAATTCCTTAAATAGAATAGCAATTGCCATGTAGTTACTGTTTTTCAACAGCTATAACATACACCTGGTATTTCTTACTTCAGAAGGAGGAGGGCCAACTCATGAACATCGCTATGACCTCAGATCTGGCACAAAATAATCGACAGAATGAAGACTCTGCAGAAGAGATAACTGAGCTAGAATGATGGACATTGCCAAAGGGGACACACAATGTTAAAGGCGCATTCAATTCTATGCTGCAAAACAAGACAGCCATTTCAGCTTTTTACAGTTACAAACGTGCAAGTTATTCTAAAGCAATTTGATAATAAAATCCAATGCACCTAATAGCTTATATACTGTACTTCCTTTTTATTTGAATATATCAATGTCAAGAAAAGGTTTGTCTCCCTGGTGGTTACAAGAGCTAAGTGAAAATAATCTAAACTAATAGTTTGTAGTAGCTTTCATGATTTTCATACTGTAAAAATTGAAATGCCATCTATGAAGAAATAAGTTTGCATTTATTAGGACAAGCCAAACACAAGTTTACATCCAGTGAAAACATGGAAAAGTTTCATGGGATGAAAATAAATATCAACGTACCTTTCTATACATTATTTTCTTATTGTACAACATAATCCTCATGCGCCAATTGGAACTTTGCTTTTAGCATTATTTTGCCTAATGAACCACCCATTGAATGACAACAGTAGACAGACAATGCAGCAGTATTTAAGATGAATGCATAGTTTAATATTTTGAAAGATACATTTTAAATCGTTGAGTGTAATCTAAAGTGACATGTAATAAATCTAAAAGTCTGTCACGTCAGTTAATAAACATACCTTGTAACATTGTGGAAATAAAAGCTTTATGTACTGTATATCATTCCTGAATACCACCTGCATTTATTTTATTGTCTGATATGAATTCATGCTGCTCTTAATTGCATTGATGGGTGTCTGTCATCATTACAGAATAGCATGGTATCTTTGCAATGTAAACAGATTTGAATGACTGCTTTCATTTGCAGTGATGTATTTACATAATATTTTTTGTGATGCAACTAGTCAACCTGCTTTAGCACACTAACACATGGGGAATATGTATAAATTTGGAGCGGGCAATAGAAACCTTTTATTTTCAGTCAAACCAGATGACAAAGAACCACATCATACGTATTAATCAATCCCATTTGTATTTCCTCATCAGGAAAACATGATAAAGATAAATGCCATAGATGAGAGTAGTATTAATGAAGCACTACTGTTGTTGACATGTTTAAGTCCAAAATTAGCTGCATTCAATGTAAGTAGGCTGCCATTGAAAAATCTCCAAGAAATACAGCTATTGCAAGACATTCTATTTCAAATGGGCATCTGAAGCACAGGTAAAGTTAATGGAACCTCATGATGAGACAGACATGATAACAGTTATGTTATAGTTAACACAAGAACAATAGGAGCCTTGGAATGCAGAAAAAGATTGAGAAAAATTATGAAGTAGCAGTTCATTATTTAAGTTAGCTTATTGTGCAAGCAGTTTATGACTTTTGCAATCATTCATTTATAAACTGGTAGGAGTCCCTTAACAATATAAAACAACATTATTATCTCCAAGCAGCAGCTCTTTATAAAAGCAAACATTTCCATATATTGTGTAGTGTGCTGCCAAGGTTTTGGTACTGGTTTCAGCAACAACAAAAAAAGACAGTATATGATACATTTCAGTGACATAACAGTTACACCTGTCTGAAGCTACTTCCTGTCAGTTCTGATGCATTATAGTCTAGACTTACCATAAGAACACTTAACACATGGTTGATGAGGATTGCAGACATGTACGTATGTTGTATGTAACCTCTTTTTAAGGCATCTAATTAAAACACACTGAAATGTGTACTGAGGCGGTAGAAAAGGTGACAAAGGCAGCATCCCAAATGGCATCCTATTCCTTATATATATATTACACTACTTTGATCAGAGCCCTATGGGCCCTGGTCAAAAGTACTGCCTTGTATAGAGAATAGGGTGCCATTTGGGATGCAGACAAACTGAAAATACAGTCAATGTAGCTGTAAAATGGTGCATTGGGGGACCTGTTCCATTGTGGGGGTGGGGGGAGTAAATGATCAAATGGAGCGAGTTAGTACTTAGTCAAAAAAAAGAAAAACTCAATTAAATTGCAGCACAACTTTCAACAACCATTACATCACTGAGTCAGAGAAACAAAACCAGTGGATCAAAGTAAGAGGACAATCTTCAATATGTGAAATATGACCATCTAGCATGTATATACTCCACTACGTAATATCAACACTGTCAAGCAATCATCACTTTACAAGAGCATGCTCTCAAGCAATTTTTACACAAATAGAGGACATTCAGATAAAAACGTTAGCCCTGCCAAGCCCATTTGGAGTGGTTCCATTTAGGAGAGCATAATTTCAAAAGTTAAAAGAAAAGAAAACAGTAAGCAAATACACATTTTAAGTTAAACGTCAAAATAAAAATATTTCCTTAGTGGCTCTACTAACTTCCATACCCAGTAGTGAACATATAGCTTGCATCACAGTGGGTGTCAGTCATTTCCTTCCCTTTTCTCCTCTTGGTTGAAGGTAACACGATTTTATCTTCAACCTAGTTTCTCATCTCATCTCATCCAAAGATCATGTGTTACAGCATCAGTAGTGCTCATGGGAAATAATATTAATGCATCATACAGCCACCGCAGAGTCTAGGTTTTTGCCTGGGAATGGGTGACCATGAACCATGGGTATGGCTTGCGGATGCTGCTTGTGCACAAATGAATCTGGTTCTAGGAACCATACAAGTTTCAAACGACAACTTGGGTTCTGCAGCTCTTCAGAGTCAAGTTCCAAAAAAGGATGACTTGGGTTCTAGAGTTCTTCATAGTCTCCGCCCTCTCTATTTGCTGACCCCTCCCCTCCAGCCAAGAAATCCTCCAAGTCATCCATGTCCCCGGTTTTCTTGGTCCGAGATTTCTTCTTTTTCCTCTCTTTGTCATCACCTGTTCCGGTCTCATCTTTCTCCTTCTTCTTGTCCTTTTTATGCTTCTTCTTGCTGCTCTTCTCATCCTCCTAAGAAAAAAGGCAGAATTATTTTTACAGAATCTCGTATTTCTGTTTTTAAAATGTATGTCCACTATCCTGTATAAACACTCATCCATTCACTTGACAAGACCGCCATCTGAAAAGACATCCACTCCCTTACTTCTTTGCTTTTCTTCTTCTTTTTCTTCTTTTCTTTTGAGGAATGTTTGCTTTCCTTCTCTGAAAAGCAATTTATATAATTTGAGAAATTAATTAATACAATGTAATTTGGTTTTATGTGATACGCTTTGGTACGGTTCTCTGTCATGTGCTAGGATACTATTCTATGGTACATGGATGTATTCACTAGACGCCAAACGAAAGAAAACGGATTGAATCAGAGAAGGACTATCTAAACTCTTGTCCAAAAATAAACAATTGTTTTTGTTTTACATTGCAAAACTTTTAAATACAGTATGCACTAATGAATGCGACCCTGTTCTCTATAGATTTGTGGTAGTGGACTTGCCTTCTTGGTCCTCACTGCTGTCCTTGGCTTTGGGGGCTTCTTCCTCCTTAAAGCCCAAGCCAAACAGGTCTGTCTCATTCTTGCTCTTAAAGGAGGGCTTCAGGACCGGTGTGGGCTTCAGAGGCTCTGGGATCAGCGTGGCTGGAGGGATGTCATCATCTGACAGCTCCAGATCAGACAGTACTTCATCCCTGACTGGGAAAACCTCCTGTGGATGGATGCAGAGGGAAATAAGTCCAAACTATCACAAATACCAATATACATTGTAACCATGCATCCAAACCAAAAAGGTCCATCAAATAATATATTGAAAATTTATTGGATATTTCACAAATGCAGCACTACATATTTGACCAGGAAAGTAATTTCTATAGGTTGACTACTCAATCTAACTATGATGACTTGTAGCCTACAACCCTAACTAACATCCTTTTGACCTAGCTACCTTAGTTATCTTCTGGATGACTGCCTCCTCCTCAGACTCAAAGTCAAGATCATCCATGACGAAGGAGAGCATCTGTTCAGCAACAGGGGCCCCTGGGTCAGAGTCCGAGTCTGCCCCAGGGGTTCCTCCGTTTTTCCCTCTGGGTGGGCCTGGCTGCTCCAGGGCTACTGCAGGTGCAGAGGTCAGGGTGAGGGTGATGGGCTCAGCCACCTGGGGGACAGTGTTCTCCAAGAGTTGGTCAGCAGGTGCCAAAGGCTCCGGAGCTTGGGGCTCCATGGCATGGGGCATTATGGACTCAGTGCCCAGTCTAAAACAGAGTACAAAAACATTACATTTACATTTTAGTCATTTAGCAGACGCCCTTATCCAGAGCGACTTACAGGAGCAATTAGGGTTAAGTGCCTTGCTCAAGGGCACATCGACAGATTTTTCACCTAGTCGGCTCGGGCATTAGAACCAGCAACCTTTCAGTTACTGGCACAACGCTCTTAACCACTAAGCTACTTGCTGTTTTACTCTTGATGACAAGAGTCATCTATTAATGTATATGATAAAAATGAGTTTCTAAAACAGATGACAAAAAAAGAAATAAACAACTAGATATGAGTTTATATAATTCTAAATATAACTAAAGTTACTTAAACTGAAATGGTTTACTCTTGATAAGACTACATTACATTAACGGATATGCTGGATATAAGAGGCTTACTGTTTCAGCTCTGAATCACTGTCAAGGTCGAAGTGGTCAACCTGAGTGACAGCAGGTACTAGTGGTGATGGTGGTGGGGGCTGTGCTTCCACCTCCTCCTCATCGCTAGACATAGTGAAGTCTTTACTGGTGAGAAGGCCCAGGGTGTTGGGCAGGGGCAGCTCCTTGTCATCTGGGTCTAACTCATCCTGATAACCTGCCACCATGGGGTTCCCTCTGTCCTCTCCATCACTTTAATAGATGATCATAATAATAATTATAATAATAATAATAATAATAATAAATACAGTATATAGACTACCGGTCACAAGTTTTGGAACACCTACTCATTCAAGGGTTTTTCTTTATTTTTACATTGTAGAATAATAGTGAAGACATCAAAACTATGAAATAACACATATGGAATCATGTAGTAACCAAAAAAGCGTTAAACAAATCAAAATATATTTTTTATTTGAGATTCTTCAAATAGCTTTGCACACTCTTGGCATTCTCTCAACCAGCTTATTGAGGTAGTCACCTGGAATGCATTTCAATTAATAGGTGTGCCTTCTTAAAAGTTAATTTGTCGAATTCCTTCTTAATGCGTTTGAGCCAATCAGTTGTGTTGTGACAAGGTAGGGGTGGGTATACAGAAGATAGCCCAATTTGGTAAAAGACCAAGTCCATATTATGGCAAGTACAGCTCAAATAAGCAAAGAGAAACGACAGTCCATCATTACTTTAAGACATGAAGGTCAGTCAATACAGAAAATGCCAAGAACTTTGAAAGTTTCTTCAAGTACAGTCGCAAAAACCATCAAGCACTATAATGAAACTGGCTCTCATGAGGACCGCCACAGGAATGGAAGACCCAGAGTTACTTCTGCTGCAGAGGATAAGTTCATTAGGTACCAGCCTCAGAAATTGCAGCCCAAATAAATGCTTCACAGAGTTCAAGTAACAGACACATCTCAACATCAACTGTTCAGAGGAGACAGTGTGTGTGAATCAGGCCTTCATGGTTGAATTGCTGCAAAGAAACCACAACTAAAGGACATCAATAATAAGAAGAGACTAGTTTGGGCCAAGAAACACAAGCAATGGACATTAGACCGGTGGAAATCTGTCCTTTGGTCTGGAGTCCAAATTGGAGATTTTTGGTTTCAACCGCCATGTCTTTGTGGGACACCGTGTGGGTGAACGGATGATCTCCGCATGTGTATTTCCCACCGTAAAGCATGGAGGAGGAGGTGTGATGGTGTGGGGGTGCTTTGCTGGTGACACTGTCAGTGATTTATTTAGAATTCAAGGGACACTTAACCAGCATGGCTACCACAGCATTCTGCAGCGATACGCCATCCCATCTGGTTTGGGCTTAGTGGGACTATCATTTGTTTTTCAACAGGACAATGACCCAACACACCTTCAGGCTGTGTAAGGGCTATTTTACCAAGAAGGAGAGGGAGTGCTGCATCAGATGACCTGGCCTCCACAATTCCCCGACCTCAACCTAATTGAGACGGTTTGGGATGAGTTGGACGGCAGAGTGAAGGAAAAGCAGCCAACAAGTGCTAAGCATATGTGGGAACTCCTTCAAGACTGTTGGAAAAGCATTCCAGGTGAAACAGGTTGAGAGAATGCCAAGAGTGTGCAAAGCTGTCATCATGGCAAAGGGTGGCTATTTGAAGAATCTCAAATATAAAATATATTTTGATTTGTTTAACACTTTTTTGGTTACTACATGATTCCATATGTGTTATTTCATAGTTTTGATGTCTTCCCTCTTATTCTACAATGTAGAAAATAGTAAAAATAAAGAAACACCCTTGAATGAGTAGGTGTGTCCAAACTTTTGACTGGTACTGTATGTATATATATATATATATATGGTACTTTAATATAAGACGACACAAAATATGGAACTTCAATAGAAACTTCAGATGAAATTCTACAAAAATGAGAGAATGCTGGAATACTCTTTGGTTCTACCCCCTAGAACGTATAAAATAACAACTATCTATTAAATGAAGCACTGTTTGCGATTCTTGAATCCTCTCCTTCCACAATTTATTCAATGGAAGCATTGAATAAATAGAGCCATCTGAAAACTCTCACCACAGATGGCCTGCTGCAGATGGTACTGTGTGCTGTAAACATAGAGCATGTTTTCCAGCAGGGAAAGAAATAAACCTAGTGGCAATACAGACCACGTCCCAAATGTCACCATATTATATAGTGCACTCATTTTTACCAGAGCCCTATGTGAATAGGGTGCCATTTGAGACGCATCCAGGGATACGTTCTCATCTGTGAAAGTAAGAACCCCTACTCTAATACTACTTACCTGTCACTTTCCAGTGCAGGTTGGGGAACCTTGACTTTAGAGGGAAGGCTGTCCTCCAGGAAGCTTTTATCCAGACCCTCATCTGGCACAAAGTCATCCACACTCTGAACGTTAGCAGGACACACGGGGGCAGGCTCCGGCTCTGAAGACAGACAGCAGTGATCAGAAGAGCCTTTGATGTGTTCCAAATGGCAACCTATTTTTATAGTGCACTACTGTGTGTTTTGACCCTGTTCAAAAGTATTGCACTATATAGGGAACAGGGTGCCAATTGGGACTCATCCTTAGTTATTAATCAACAGCATAGACTTACTTACAATGATATTGTACAGTATTAGGCCTTCCTCATCTCAACATGATGGTTTACATGAAAACAACCAAGCATAATGTAAGTGTGACTGTCTTGATGTGGAGGGAAAATAGGCAAATTAAACCCTTTCTTCTTAACTCTATTGAGTTAAAAGATCAATGAGTTACTTCCCTCAATATAAAGTGTTGTTTTGTAAAACTGCCAAAAGAGTCTGGCGTTAACCACATACAGTTGAAGTCAGAAGTTTACATACACCTTAGCGAAATACATTTAAACTCTGTTTTTCACAATTCCTGACATTTAATCCTAGTACAAATTCCCTGTTTTAGGTCAGTTAGGATCACCACTTTATTTTAAGAATGTGAAATGTCAGAATAATAGTAGAGAGAATTATTTATTTCAGCTTTTATTTATTTCATCACATTCCCAGTGGGTCAGAAGTTTACATACACTCAATTAGTATTTAGTAGCATTGCCATTAAATTGTTTAACTTAGGTCAAACGTTTCGGGTAGCCTTCCACAAGCTTCCCACAATAAGTTGGGTGAATGTTGGCCCATTCCTCCTGACAGAGCTGGTGTAACTGATTCAGGTTTGTAGGACTCCTTGCTCGCACACGCTTTTTCAGTTCTGCCCACACATTTTCTATAGGATTGAGGTCAGGGCTTTGTGATGGCCACTCCAATACCTTGACTTTGTTGTCCTTAAGCCATTTTGCCACAACTTTGGAAGTATGCTTGGGGTCATTGTCAATTTGGAAGACCCATTTGCGACCAAGCTTTAACTTCCTGACTGATGTCTTGAGATGTTGCTTCAATATATCCACATAATTTCCCTTCCTCATGATGCCATCTATTTTGTGAAGTGCACCAGTCCCTCCTGCAGCAAAGCACCCCCACAGCATGATGCTGCCACCCCCGTGCTTCACGGTTGGGATGGTGTTCTTCGGCTTGCAAGCCCCCCTTTTTCCTCCAAATATAACGATTGTCATTATGGCCAAACAGTTCTATTTTTGTTTAATCAGACCAGAGGACATTTCTCCAAAACGTACGATCTTTGTCCCCATGTGCAGTTGCAAACCGTAGTCTGGCTTTTTTATGGCGTTTTTGGAGCAGTGGCTTCTTCCTGGCTGAGCAGCCTTTCAGGTTATGTCGATATAGGACTTGTTTTACTGTGGATATAGATACTTTTGTACCTGTTTCCTCCAGCATCTTCACAAGGTCCTTTGCTGTTGTTCTGGGATTGATTTGCACTTTCCGCACCAAAGTACATTCATCTCTAGGAGACAGAATGCGCCTCCTTCCTGAGCGGTATGACGGCTGCGTGGTCCCATGGTGTTTATACTTGCGTACTATTGTTTATACAGATGAACGTGGTACCTTCAGACGTTTGGAAATTGCTCCCAAGGATGAACCAGACTTGTGGAGGTCTACAATTTATTTTCTGAGGTCTTGGTTGATTTCTTTTGATTTTCCCATGATGTCAAGCAAAGAGGCACTGTTTGAAGGTAGGCCTTGAAATACATCCACAGGTACACCTCCAATTGACTCAAATGATGTCAATTAGCCTATCAGAAGCTTCTAAAGCCATGACATAATTTTCTGGAATTTTCCAAGCCACATGTCAACTTAGTGTATGTAAACGTCTGACCCACTGGAATTGTGATACAGTGAATTATAAGTGAAATAATCTGTCTGTAAACAATTGTTGGAAAAATTACTTGTGTCAAGCACAAAGTAGATGTCCTAACCGACTTGCCAAAACTATAGTTTGTTAACAAGAAATTTGTGGAGTGGTTGAAAAACGAGTTTTAATGACTCCAACCTAAGTGTACGTAAACTTCCGACTTCAACTGTAGAAGGTTCTAGCATGCTAACTTAATTAATTTAGTTTTAAAAATCCTTTCCCTCACATGATGTTCCAGTGCCAGGCAGGCCAGTGATCCTTACAAGTACTTCACAGAAATCCAATAATTCAAGAAGATATCATGTGACTACTTTCTGGTCGAATACACTCATGTGTATAACATGCATAGTCTAGTCCTTTTCCAGGCATTTAGGATAAAATATAGGACAAAACAGACCGACGACAAACGGTTAAAATCAGTGGGTGGCCGTCCTATCGCCTCTGACCAGAACATTGGCCATCATTTTTTGTTTATTTCCTGACGATTCTACATGTTGAATTGCCACACCATACAGGTGATCGCCAGCACTCCCCAGCCACCTGCTCCTTTTAGCCATTCGTCTTTGCTATAACGGAGTAGCGGAACACTGAAGCACCAACCAGACTCACCTGGCATGGCGGCAGGCACCTCTGGGGCGGGGGCGGAGCCAAAGAGGCGTGAGATCAGGCCACGTTTCTGAGGAGGCGGGGCCTGGGCAGGGGCCGAGGCTGGGGGAGACGGTGATGGTCCAGGATGCTCAGGACTCTGAGCCTGTGTCAGAGTTGGGGACTGAAGCTCAGCTGTGGCGGAAACCATCCCAGCTGGCAGGGCAGGAGGCGGAGGAGAGGGCGAGGGCGAGGGCGCCTGGAGGCCGGGGACCTGGGCAGCGATGGGTGGCTGATGAGGGGTACTAGGGCTAGAATTGCCAGTGGAGGCCCCACTTGGAGGGACGATAGGGGACTGGGAGCCCGAGGAGGGGCTCTGGCCGTTGGCTGGACCAGGAGAACCATAGCCTTTACTGCGGGTCTCTATGTTCTCCAAGAAACTGTAAAACAATGGGTGCTGTGCTGTTAGTATTGGCAAATCAGTGCTGCATGAAGAAAGTAAGAAACATGTGTCTACAAGTGTTAATGATCAAAACAAACACACTGATGCAATCTGAGTGAAAATATTGCTGTACATGCCAAACAAACTGATAGAGAGGGAAAATATCACATTACATTTCATAGTTTTGATCCTCAGTCTCCTGCTGCACGGTGAGCTCCTCCAGAGTGGCGTCCATGTCTAACTGGTTGGTCTCGAGCTGCCGTAACAGAGTCTCCCTCTGTAGAGATCAACGGGGAGGGCTGGAAATGACTGACCATGAACCAGAGCACTAACACTCCTTTCAAAAGAAAGGAGAAACCCTTTCACAGGGTTTGTCTGTGGTATTGCTGATCACATTTTCCGACCTTCATGAAATTCATAAGAAGGTTATGACAATAGCAAAGCTATACATTTCACAATACAATGTAGTCTAAGCTAGAACTAACCTGAAGTTGCAGGAAAGGAATGTTGAAAAATCTATGTAAATATTTCAAACCAAATCCATTCTTCATAGAGGCTTCAGCGTAGTGAATATAAGAAGAACCCATGGGTCTGCAAGAAACCATAGAAACCATCAGTCAAGTATATGGACACATTAATCATAGCAAAATTCTGTTAACTTTACCCCAATTCCGAAGTGTTTTTAAAATCTTGGTTGGGGGGGGGGGGACGGTTCAGGATTTTGTGCTTATTCCCTCTTGATTGCAGGAATATTCCAACCGGGATTTCAGGAAAATCAGGACATTTTGGTAATGTTATCACAACTTTGCAACCCTAATAAGACTAAAACAGAGAGTTAAATTCACTACCTATTCAGATTAGCGATAACCTGGCGGATGTCATCAGGTAGAATGACACGGTGGTCACCCATGTCCCTGTGGTTACCTAGGACACACACTGGAACATGAGTGGGTACTTTGGGCAGCTCTCTCAGGATGTAGTTGAATGTCCTGCAATGACATAAAAAAAGAATGAAACATCAACTTAAAGCTACTATTGTTTCTCCATAAGTGAGGAATTACAAATATGTGTGTCTCCCCATACTTGGCTGAGTTCAAAGTGAGTACAATGGTAATCTTTTTCACATTGTTCTGCCTTTGAAGCTAAGCAGTCTGAAGCCAGCCAACCACTGTGGGCTAAGTGGTTCATGGCCACACAAAGGCTTACTGAAATCAAATCCCACCCATGCACATTGTTTCATTAAAGTTCATTGACTTATTAATTGAACCATGGGAAAGTCCCACATGTCACCCTATTGCCTATGTAGTCCCGTGTAGCTCAGAATGTATGCACTCACTAACTGTAAGTCGCTCTGGATAAGAGCGTCTGCTAAATGACTAAAATGTAAATGTAATGTAGTGCACCACTTTTGACCTGAGCCTTATGGGCCCTGGTCATAAGTAGTTCGCTTTGTAGGGATTAAGGTGCCATTTGGAATGTAGCCCATGTTTATATGGACAATACTTTTGCTGTTGTTGCTATAGACCCATGCGATGGCGCACAATTGGCCCAGCGTCGTCCAGGGTAGGGGAGGGAATGGCCGGCAGGGATGTAGCTCAGTTGGTAGAGCATGGCGTTTGCAACGCCAGGGTTGTGGGTTCGATTCCCACTGGGGGCCAGTATGAAAAATATATATATAAAAAATAATGAATGCACTCACTAACTGTAAGTCGCTCTGGATAAGAGCGTCTGCTAAATAACTAAAATGTAATGTAAATGTATAAAGTTGATTGTTTTTCTACATAAAGACGAAGATTAACAGTACAAACAAAACATCAAAATAGGGGAAGGGGGGGGGTCTCCTAAACTGTTCTTGAATGTCTGCCATTTTCAAAATGATATGTAGTGGAAACCTTTCAGAACATAGTGGTATACTACGAAGCAAGTTCTATTTTGGGTTTTTCTAAAGCTAACGAGCTTCAGTTAGCTTCCATTTCCAGCTCAGGCTTCGTCCTACTACGACCGTGGATATTGCTCGTCCGCCTACCGCTAACTCTAGCAGGCTTGTAACTGCGCGTGCCATATCGCACATGGCTAGTCGAACTCTTCATTGCTCCAATGCTGAAACGTCAATCCAAAGCGAGTGTGCTACATTTTCATTTGTGCCGAAATCAAAGCGAAATAAAAATAATCTTGCAAATTCAGCAGGCTATGATGTGAAATAGGCTTTAATCAATGCCGTCTTTATTTTATAACTTATCGTTAATACCGTCTTTGGTGTGATTTGGTGTGCTTATCAATGCACGAGCACCTTTTTCCCCATTTCTATCACTCCTTCTGTGGAACAGCTTGCTGCGTTGTGGCCATTGACATATAATCCATTGAAGGATTCGGAACTGCTATCTGTGGGTTTATATGTCTATTGTTGGTTGCGGCTGTCATTTGCTTTTCGCAAATTTATAAATACAATCGCGCAAAAAACGTACAGTTTGGAAAGCAAATGCTATCATTACAAAAAGTGGCAATTACTATATTTTTTTACACACAAAAAACATTTATTAATAAAACATTAATAATCAGTCGTCTTCCTCAAATGAAGGGTATGATAACACAATCTTTGCGAGTGGGAGGGTGTGTGATTTCATTGGTCCTCAACTCATGGCTCAGACACTTCATTCCGGATAAATGGAGTTAGCCTGCCCCAGAAGGATTCTTTGCCGTAGAAATGTACCTGGCTAAAAGGTGAATCACTTTCGTAAAACCGGTAATCCCGCGTTGAATTTAGAGTTGACCAAAATTACCTCGGTAACTCCTCAAACCCGGTACGTAGTATACCCCTCAGGAATCACTATAGATATAGTTAACTATGCTTTGTGGAAAGTTTAAAACAAATCTGGGGGAAGAAATATTTACTTTGGAGGTGACTGCAACTATTTGAATACAGATCCCAAAAAATTACTACTTTTTAAAACTATTTGAAAACAGATCTGAGAAAGCAACTACTTAAAACAAATATTTATATAGATCTTAGGAAGTGACTACTCTTCTGAAACTACTGGATTGGCTGCCTTCAACTAATGGCAGGGCTGTATCTGGAACTGCATGTTGAAAATAGATCGCAATAGCATAGGAGATTGTGTGTGCTCTTCATTCTGCCAGTCATATTTGATCTACACAATACATCTGAACATTTTGTAAATGTACATTCTCCTGAATTTCCATTGCCCCAGATGTACATAATCAAGTCAAACCAATTAACCAAAGATTTTTGTAAAGATTAGTATAAATAAGTTGTGACGCTCAACTACTGTATGGGGCTCTATTTTAACAAACCAAATGCCAGTGGTGTAAAATACTTAATTAAAAATACTTTAAAGTACTACTTAAGTAGTTATTTTGGGTATCTGTACTTTACTATTTATATTTTTGACAACTTTTACTTCACTACATTCCTAAAGAAAACAAATGTACTTTTTACTCCATACATTTTCTGACACCCAAAAGTAGTCGTTACATTTTGAAGGCTTAGCAGGACAGGAAAATGGTCCAATTCACACACATAAAGAGAACATCCATGGTCATCCCTATTGCCTCTGATCTGGCCGACTCACTAAACATACATGCTTCGTTTGTAAATTATGTCTGAGTGTTGGAGTGTGACCCTGGCTATCCGTAAATAAATTAAAAACAAGACAATGGTGCCGTCTGGTTTGCTTAATATAAGGAATTTGAAATGATTTATACTTTTACTTTTGATACTTAAGTATGTTTTAGCAATTACATTTACTTTTGATACTTAAGTATATTTAAAACCAAATACTTTTAGACTTTTACTCAAGTAGTATTTTACTGGGTGACTTTCACTTGAGTCATTTTCTATTAAGGCATCTTTACTTTGACTGAAGTATGACAATTGGGTACTTTTCCCACCACTGCCTAACGCAATGGTAGATCTTAGTTCTGGCGGTAGTGCTATAGGTCTGCAGGTGTCAAGATTTTTGTGTGTGCATATTTGCTAAATACACTATATATACAGAAGTATGTGGACACCCCCTCAAATTAGTGGATTCGGCAATTTCAGCCACACCCGTTGCTGACAGGTATATAAAATCGAGCACATAGCCATGCAATCTCCATAGACAAACATTGGCAGTAGAATAGTCATACTGAAGAGCTCTGTGACTTTCAACGTGGCACCATCATAGGATGCCACCTTTCCAACAAGTCAAATGTCTGCCCTGCTAGAGCTGCCCCGGTCAACTGTAAGTGCTGTTATTGTGAAGAGGAAATGTCTAGGAGCAACAACGGCTCAGCCGGGAAGTGGTAGGCCACAAGCTCACAGAACGGGACTACAGAGTTCCAAACCTCCTCTGGAAACAACGTCAGCACAAGAACTGTTCGCCGGGAGCTTCAGGAAATGGGTTTCCATGGCCGAGCAGCGGCGCACACGCCTAAGATCGCCATACGCAATGCCAAGCGTCGGCTGGAGTGGTGTAAAGCTCGCCGTCATTGGAATCTGGAGCAGTGGAAACACGTTCTCTGGAGTGATGCATCAAGCTTCATCACCTGGCAGTCCGACGGACAAATCTGGGTTTGGAGGATGCCCCAATGCATAGTGCCAACTGTAAAGTTTGGTGGAGGAGGAATAATGGTCTGGGGCTGTTTTTCATGGTTCGGGCTAGGCTCCTTAGTTCCAGTGAAGGGAAATCTTAACGCTACAGCATACAATTACATTCTAGACGATTCTGTGCTTCCAACTTCCTGGCAACAGTTTGGGGAAGGCCCTTTCCTGTTTCAGCATGACAATGCCCCGGTGCATAAAGCGAGGTCCATACAGAAATGGTTTGTCCATATCAGTGTGGAAGAACTTGACTGGCCTGTACAGAGCCCTGATTACATTCATTAGGCTATTGATAATGCCTAAAAAGACAGTGTATAATTCTAATTAAATTGTTATAAAATGAAACAACTTGTTTGAAATAGGCTGTCTAAATACAGTTATAGGCACCACAACTGCTCCCCGTGGGCATATAATTTAGACTATGGAGGGTTTTTACACACATCCAAACTTTTCACAGGGGCTGGACAAAGATCCAATATAAAAAGAATGGGGGAATGTCCACTCACCGTTATACTGCTCCCAAATGGAATGTTTTATAACCATCTTACAGATCATATTTGCACTTCTCCAGCAATAGGAGACGAAATTGCATTGCATTCGAGGCATGCACGTTCTCACCATAAACCCACGGACGGTGAATCTTTCTAATAAGTTTGTTTTTTGTTTAATTTGAATAAAAAACAATCACTGTTTGAAAACAACAACATTTCTAAATAGGATCGGGTCAGAAGCATGATGTCATAAATCGCATCTCTCGTTCCATGAGCATAAGGCAATGTGTGCACACTTAGTCCTAAAGGCTCTTCGGCAGGAGGCATGGATGTTTGTCCTATCCATTGAAGTTAATTAATTAACTAGTCCAACGGATGAAAATGGAAGATGCATTTTTTTTAAACAAAATGATAAAGGAAAAACAAAACAATAAGCAATCTTTTGTATTAACTTAATGTTCCTAAACAGACTTCCAACAGTCACTGACACCTTTCATTCAATGGGCATTGCACATAGGCCTAATGAGTCCAAACTTCTCACAGAAGCTGGGCAAAAATAATGTCCAATATAAAGAAAAAAATGGAATGCATGCTTTATATGATTACATAAGAAGAAATGTATAGTTACAGTAACCTCAAAATGTGGCCAAGGATGTGTTACTCATTTAAAGTTGAATGTTACATTAGTTTGTAAGATAGCCTTAACTTTAGGATATTTACTGTATACAAAAGTAATATTGAATTGTGTTTGGTTGACAATGCAACCAAATATCAACATTTACATTTTACATTTTAGTCATTTAGCAGACGCTCTTATCCAGAGCGACTTACAGTTAGTGAATACATATTTTTTTATACTGGCCCCCCGTGGGAATCGAACCCACAACCCTGGCGTTGCAAACGCCATGCTCTATCAACTGAGC